GCCTCTCTCGAGCGGCTATATTACATTAGGCTGAGCGCGGCCTGGTCGCGAGCTTGAATCTTGAATCAGCGCTTACGATAACTTGTCTACATAAGATTGTCTTATTTTTTATTAACTTTATATAATATTTATTATTCTTAATGATTACTTATGTTTTCGCGGACACTACACATTTAAATGAAACTAATTTTTAACGGACTTTTGAGTAACGTAAAGAATCGAGTAAAGTATTCGAATGTGCTTTAAAGTACTCGAAACGTCGGGAATTTGAAATGAGTTAATATACGCGATGAAATTCATAAAAACTTAGTTTCAATTATTATTTTTCTTTATCAGCCGGTAATGGGCAAGGATCTCTCTTAATATTTGCTCCCGTTGTAATGAGAAGTTGCTTTTATCGTCATGCTTGGCAGGCGGATTGCCAATTGAAGTACCAAATCTCGTACTTATGTCGGTGCTTCCCGTTTAAGGTGCGGTCTGGATATTTTATTATTGAGAAAAACAGTACTTATTGATTTTAAATTTCTTCTTTTGATTAGGTATTACATTTACATTTATATCTTCATTAGTTAATTCAACAACAGCCGTTCGTTGACCTATTATAATATAATATATTCAACAATTATTTTAACGCGCCGGGTACCATCTAGTAGTTTATAAAATAATTTGATATTTGCGTAGGGTGGCTATCCTTATATTAACGTATTTTGATACGTTATTTTGCTTAACTATAATTACTTTATACTTCTAAATAAAAAAAAAGTATCGAAAGTGCTTTATTTCTAACGTATTATGCATGAAATTGAGCAGATTATATAATGTTTCCTGGTGTACATGATTTCCGAACGAACGAAATTTCCGAAGTCAAGTGCAAGATTGAATGAATGAAGTGAGTGTTTTCTAAGATAACCAGCGCAGCAGACTCATTGCTCCATAGCCCTCTCAAATCAATGTTTCAAAATCTTAGTTCAATTGATTATTTAAAATCGTTTGAAAAGCAACATATAATTTATATGAAACGTGACCTCGTGAACAAATAGTGGATGCGTTGATGAGCTTCGAGATCGCATGGAACCAATATGAACTGAGCCGCCATGAAACACGATATTTGTAGCATTCAGCCATTAATAACAGTCTCCTTCATAATATAGGACATGCTTTTTAAAAACTATTTAAGGCATTACCGTGTAGATACCAATATAGTAATAGAAGGGTAACCCGTAGTAAAGGGCCTTATTACAAAATGTGACTTGTTGATAGTATCAGGTTTTAATTATTGTTGAACAACTGTTTTTTTCATTAAAGAAGTCCACTATCCGCGGCGCAACGGTCTTCGCGAAATTTAACAATTGCTGTCAAATTCAATACATTACATTTTTAGTTCTCATAATATTTCCACGGGACTTCTTTCGTGAAACGGATTCCAGTTTCAACCTAATACTACTTATAATCTACCTTTTGTAATAAGACTGTGAAAAACTTCAATGAAAAACCAGTGATTATATTGTTGTCTTTAAAATATTTTGATACGCTTGTTCCGCGTATCATTTTTTATTTTTATTTTACGTAAACTCCCATATTACAAAAAAAAATTGTCAATAGTATAGTAGCCAAGTCAGACTAGCCTTTTTATTTACTTAGATATTTTGTTTACGTCGTTTGCTTAAGAAATAATGTTAATTTTTAATATGGAGACTGCTTAGTTACAATACCGGCTGATTTGTTTACCGCGAGAAAAAAAAAACAGAGTGTAATGTTAATAAAGTACAAAGAACAAATAGGGGGCCTGTAGTATAGATATTATTCAAATTTATTTTTTTTAAAAGTAAACTTTTAATTTTGGAAAATAAACATAGTAAGTATACGAAAATTAAAAAATGATGAAAAATAAAAAAATTTAAATCATGTGCACCCTACTTTACGCGTGATAAGTATCAAAGAATTTGTAACGCCCTTGACCTTAAACCTGTTGCTAAATAGCGTTTACTTAAAATTGATAGTATACCTTATAAAAATGAAGTGTAACTAACGAATTTACAGTCCATTTGATGGTAAGTGGTTATTACAGTCCGTACACACCTGCAGTCAAGTTCAAACAAGGCTACAAATGCGTTTTCACCTCTCGGGACACACGAGGAATAACTGACACACTGTAGTTATACTGGCTCTCTGTATCCTTAAGACCGGAGCACAACTGTTTGGCGGCAGAAATAGGTAAGAAAGTGGTACCTACCCACACAGATTTCCAGACAGAAAAGGAGGTCTACCACCTGGCAGACTAAAAATAATAAAATCACACATCACCACCGGAGAGATATCAGGCGCGGGCTCAACGACTTTTTACTGAGAATTTTTTTACAGAAAAACCCAAAAACTGATTTTTGCCCGACCCTGAATTCGAACCCGGGAAATTTTTTAATGACTTACTTTGTTCACATATTACACCCTATTTTTTCCTCACGGTAAACCGTCTCAAACATGTTGAATAAGAAGTCTGTGTTCAGCTGCGGCTGTTACTTATTGAAATGTAAACATTCACGTTTACGGCCTTTTGAAAGCTTTGTCGTAAATTTATATTTAAAGTTATTTATTAGTTTTAATAAATATCCTATAAACCAGCTGGGTAAACAAAGAATGCCTTTAAAATGTTGAACTACATTACTTTTTATAAATTTTTATAGCTGCCGCACTGGCCGCGTTCGGTTTACATCGGGTTATGATTGTTTGACTTTGGTTATTAGAATTGTTTCCTTTAAAGGCTGATCAAAATGCAAAGATATAAACAAACAAGATACGAACATGTTTGATCCAAACATCAAGCAGACACAAATGATTTTTTTTATTATAGGAAAAGGGTGACAAACGAGCACACAGTCCACCTGATGGTAAGTGGTTGCTGTGGCCTATAGACATCTACATTTATCCCCAATTCCGAATCAAAATGCAGATGCGTTGTCACCCGTGAGGGCTAAGATGGAATGCCTCGTTTCCAGTAAAAAGGGTCTCCGGTTCTCTATACTCACCATACGAAACACAGCAGCATTAAGCGGCTACTTTACGCTGATATTCTGTTAGAGCGTGGTCCTTCCCCGGTCGAGCTGACCCATTCGTGCTCCAACTATAACTGAAATATAGCTGCAGCATGGCTTTACCACGTAAAAATTGATAGATGCTTGACTAACAAAAATCTACGTGCAGCCTTGACCGTTTCGGAAACCTTTTAAGCTGTATACAAATAAGCGATGAAAACATTAGTGATTTTTCTTGAATATTTCATGAGTTTGTATCCTCAGTGTCGGATATTCTCTGTTATTATAGATTACTGATTGAGTTACTAAAAGTGTATCAAGGGTTTAGATGTCTAACAAATTGGGTTATAATGAAAAAAAAACTCTCTTATACTTTAAATAGAAGTGCATAAATTATGAGGGCTTCAAATAATCCGTTATCTGCGTGATGGTAAGGTTTCCTTAATCGCATGCCTAGCTGCGATGTGTAAAAAACCGTTTCTAAATGTCATCACTCTTGCGTTCACGTTTAAGTCTAAACCTTTACTGATAAATTATTCTTTATAATTTTAGACTAAACTAAAGGCCAAACAAATAAATCGCTCCACTTCGTTCCGTGGGTACCGTAAGGAACGACAAGAGGAAATATCAAAAAGACCTAATGGCTTGATAGGATGGCGTTTTAACCATCTTGTTTACGGCAGAGGCAAAATTAACAGACTGGCGGAAGGCAGCGAAGTCAAAGGTGTTATACACCCATGGGACAGTCTAACTGCTACTAAGTACTAACAGTCGGTCATCGAAGGCGTCTAGACGGGGCATTCGTGCGGTGCGGTAAGTTCCCGAGCGGCTGTTAGTAGCTCGGGAACTATCCGCTAGGGTTGTCCTGTCACGCAATTAAATTAAAATGGTTCACACTACATGTGCGGTAAAAAACTGTGTGTCGTCGTCATTTAAAGATAAAGAATTAGTTTCATCAGTTTCCACATACACATTAATTTGTTAAACGTGAAATAAAATAAAATCATTTTTTTTTCTTACTTCTCGTCCTGACCACCCTAGCAATTTCTTATTTATGTCGGCTTTTCCGACAACATCAAACGAGATCACTGACTGTATGTTCTTGTTAGGCTGTGCCCGTGGCACTGCGATAGTCTATCTGCTGGCCAAACGTGACAACTAAAACACACCATCTCTACATTGGGACTGGCTCCTGTCCAGCAGTGTATTTTTACGGGCTAGTGATGATGAAGATGAAGAATGTATAATAAGTTACATATTATGTTACGAAAATACAATTTCGCTTAAACCTTTTTTAAAGTTTACTAACTAAATTAAGTAATAAATGAAAAATAGTTAAGCCTTACTTATTACTAAAAAGTTAATTTAACAAAAAAAAATTCAACAAAATTTGAAAGGCATTGAGAAGATATTTTTTTTATAGGATAAGGGTGACAAACGAGCACACAGTCCATCTGATAGTAAGTGGTTGCTGCGGCCCATAGACATCTACATCTATCCTCGATTAAGAATCAAAATGCAGATGCGTTGTCATCCGTGAGAACTAAGATTAAATGCTGGAAACGAGGCAAAAGGGTCTTAGGGAGTAAAAAAGGTATCCGGTCCTCAACACTCTCCATACTAAACGGTATTCTGTGAGAGCGTAGTCCTCCGACCCCGGTCGAGCCGACCCATTCGTGCTACAACTATACCCCTAACATAGCTGCAGCGTGACTACCACATAACAGATGATGACTAGTGATTTATATTTATCTGAATCGTGCATACTGAATAAAACTAATTGTAAAGATTTTATCGCCTATAAATTTAACTTTGGTCTCCACGTGAGCAAGAGTAATATTAGTTTTATTTATTATTGATGGTGATGATTAGATGCCCATTAATGTTCGAGTCAAATGTTGCAATTCCATAATTTAACTTATTATTTAAGTATACAAATAAAATATTTCTAAAAGCGATTTTCTTCGACAGGCCGTATTCACTCGGCGATCGTGTCCGGGGTGAACCTGGAGACACGGTCGGTGACCGTGGAGTGGTACGAGCGTGGCGAGACCAAGGGGAAGGAGGTGGAGATCGATGCCATACTTGCGCTCAACCCGGAGCTCGCCGGCGTGCGGCATCACACCTCGCACTTGCAGTCCATGCCTAACAAGCTGGCCAGGGTAAGCATACACCAAATCAATCATTCTCTCGATCAAATGTTATTGAAGACAATGTTATAAGTTATGATATTTGAGGTAGAGTTTACACAAGTGTGCTTATAAAATTACGACACAAAAATATTTTAAAATAATATTTAATAAAAAAATTCACAGTGTTTTCACTTATCAGAGATGACGTCCATTTCTTCGCTTGCATTACTTTACGTCAACAATTTCGGATTTAAATTTCATCAACGTCAACTCATCAGATAGGAGTGCAGTTAGCGCAGTACACAATACATTCAACCCCAGCTTTACGTCACTTGCATAATTCATACGATAAATGTAATTTTGTAGGAGTAATAACTTAATAGCTAAGTTTTAATTGAATAAGAATCAATTATTGCATGACGTCTAGTTATATAATGATTTCTTATATTTAGTAAATGAAACTAATTTTATTTTTTGTAAGCTCGTTCTGCGTAGATCAGATCTAAATTAGTATTCTAAAGCTGAAGGTAGAACCGGGTTAACTTTAACGTCGGAACGTAAAATACCTGTCCCCCCCGTGACCACGGGTGCTGTAAAACGCCCGAAATGTCGGGTATTAAAAAGTTCAAATTAAACGCGATAAAAATCCGTAAAATTAGTTTCATTTAATGACGTCAAGTAACCATCTTATAACTTACGAGTAGGTATTATAACATGCCATATTTTCAACATCGTTTTAAAAATGTAAACTGAAAGTAGGAAACATGGAGAATTTCGTTTCACATTCGCAAGTACGGCCGTTGGTCTATTTCAATCAGGGTCAATGAACACGACGCTCGCGCTTGCTTGCTTGTAGTAAAACAATTTGCCAATTTACGTCCGGACTTGTACACACGTTTGCTTGCAGCTTCTACCGTTATTGGCACGTCCAACCAACTAAGATTAAGTACCCAGTCTATCAAATTGTTAACAGTCGTTCACTTTCGTTTCAACAGTCTACTTCGATTTAATTGAAACTAGTTTTTACGGATTTTGTCGCATATACGAACTAATGTTATATTACTGACGTTTAGAGTACTTTACAGCACTCGTGGTCACGGCGAGATTGAGGTGTTCGAGTTCCCGATGTCGTAGTTAACCACTGCTACCTTCAGTTTTTAAATTATTAATTTTTGGTCCAATCTACGCAGAATGAGCTTATAGTATTTTAAAGGCAGTTGTAGCGTTAAGTTGGGCGTGACGTCGAATACCTGTCTGCTTCAGTGTGTTTCATTAGTTTGCGACATTGAGTTAGTACCCACTAACGTGGCAGTTAATTACGCGTGACCTCGCATCCATTTACCGCAGTTCACGCCACCTTTTATTAGAAAATTAAGTGCAATAAATTCTTGCACCTTTCCACCAGTTTGCAAAGGTCGAAGCGGTCCGATTTTAAAGCAAAAGTCCGCAGTTGCGATTTGTTACTTCGCAACGTTAAACCGTTCAACGGATGGCAAATATACGTACAGAAACTGTTATATCAGTGATTATTTCTTCATTGATAAGATAAATACGCTAGTGATAATGCTCTCTGCGCTCTTTATTAATTAATTTCGTGTCAAAATGTAGCAGAAACCATTTTTATCGATTAGCGTAGGCGGTTGAACCGCGTACCAAGCCGCGATGACTCTCTTTGTTTGGGTCGGGAAGCATGTTGCTAATCGACGCCACAGTTGCACCGACTGATTCGCGAAAGATGAATGTGCTGCCTGTCTCAGCGTCCTAGTTTCATTCTCATAAAATATCAACACAGTCTCATCGAAGATGAGTTTAAGGAAGACTTAGTTTTTGTGAACAAAGTAGCTGAAGCAACTCCACGCCAAAAATCATCAAGCACGGAAGTCATCCTGTGTGACGGTTGTGAGGGAATATGTAGAAATGTTCCCATACATCATCAGTTGGCAGGTGATCATTTGCAGCACGTAGAGATCATATTTTATTGAGTAGTGTTCATTATACAAAGTGCACCGTTGTCATGGCAACATATTTCACGTCGATCATAACGCAGCAGGCAAGTAGAAAAGGTTTGCAACACGTGAGACCTGTCATTCCATTTAGCACCATTCGATTGTTGCTTTTTCTTCGACATGGCGGAGCGACAAATAAATGGTTCTTACAGCGGGACACCGCCCATCGATTTTCCACACGTTTCACCTAAGCCCGGACTGCAGCAGTAAGTGTGGCGTTGTTGTCTGATCATGTGCACATTGTTGGTGGTGCGAAGGAGCCGTCGGGCTCGTCGTCGGACGACGGCGGCTTCCTGCGGGAGGGCGCGGAGTGCGATGGGGGCGAGGGAGGCGCGGACGCGGGACACACGCTGCCCGTGCGCCACTCACGCTCGGTACGCCCGAAGCACGTACCACGTACACTTTCACAGAATAAGTACAGTCGTTCCATTTAGCACAACGCGTCGTTTCTTTCATACAACTAAATTATTTTTTATTCAGTAAACTGATATATCTAACAACATGGAGGGGGACATTTTCTTCTGACTAGGACTCCATCTGACATATGTCATTTGTGGACGGACTAAGATGGAATGGCTCACATAACCTTTCATCAAATTGACTCTCTTTATCCTTTTGTCCCGAACTCAGAAGTGCACGCACTGCTGTTTAGCAGCAGAAATAGTAAGACGAGGAGGTAACATCTGTTACCTATTTCTGCCGCGAAGCGTCCCGTTCGTCCACTGCTGTGTTCCAATCTAAAGGCGTATATAGAGAGCCAGTATAGTTACAAGCTGCGAGGCATTCCATCGTAGTCCACGGATGACGTATGTCAGACGGTCCTCAGAGGTGAAAACGCATCTGTAGTTTTCTTTATTTGAAGTCGCTTACAAGTGTCCACGGGTTAATACCACTTACTATCAGCTGGACTGTGAATTGTTTGTCACTTTATTTTTTTTTAATTATCAATTATCAGCCAGTCCATCGTGATTCTTGTTTGCGTGAGTATGCGACACGACGTGTCGTGTTGAATGGACCTTCTGTATGTCTTTGTTCACCACACTCTGCACTTTTACCATTACGTTGCTATCCACGTACGGCTTGTTATGGTGTCTGTCGGCTTGCACTCTTGTCACGCCCGCAACCAGCAATTAACTAAAGCTACACCACGATCCGTCGTGCTCGGCTCCGGTGGCGCAACAAGAACGCAATACGATATTAGTTTCTTTGTTGCGTAGTATATAATAGCAGACTTACAATTGCACACTTTAATTTTGGCTTCATATATAAAAACTTTATTTATTTTTTATTTCGACGTTAGTTTGTTTATGAAATCCAAAAATTTACGTGGTAGAGCCACGTTGCAGCTATATTATGGTTATGGGGAAAGACCACGCTCACACTGAATACCAGCTTAAAATAGCAACTAAATGCTGCTGTGTTTGGTATGGTGAGTGTAGAGAACCGGAGACCCTTCTTACTGGAAATGAGGCATTCCATCTAAGTCCTCAGGGGTGACAACGCATTTGCATCTATGGGCCATAGCATCCACTTACCATCAGGTGGGCTTTGTGCTTGTTTGCCACCCGTATTCTATAAATAAATCTACGATATATTGCGACGCCGCGAGTGATATCACTCAGTCTGTGATTCAACATCCCACGCCATATTGATCCTTCAATGTCGCACATAACGGTAATCTTGCAAAAAATACACGTTCGGTAACAGCCGCGGGTCTACCTTGCAATGCGGCGACTAGTTTGCACTGTACACAAAAAATACATGCCTTTACATAAAGAGAATGGTTCGTCTGCTTCTGTAAACGACTGCGACCTTTAAAACATAGCCCGTTTTAATTACTTATAAGTGTTGAAAGGATAAGCCGCCAGCATAAAATTTTTGCTACGTTACAAATTTCGATTTCAATGTGCACATTCTTTTAACACCTCAGCACTAATTTGTGTGTTCAGCGCTATATTCGCTCGAATGTATCCACGCTCCTCTGCGCCACGCACTCTTGCATTTACGATCTTAATTAAGGTATACATAATAGCTTATTAACTCTATTGTCTGCAGTATATGCTGTAAAATAGTCTAGATGTCTTAATTATGTTTTCGAAACGGAAATATTGGTTTCATTAATATATTTTTGAGTTAAGAGAAATAAGTGTAAGAATATCCGCTACCCCATATCATCCCGTGTGAGTCGTAAGAGGCGTCACATGGAAACAAATGAGGAAATGGACAGCAGCGTCTTGCAAATAACGACTAAAAAAACTGCGGTTGCCATCCCGCTTGACAGGCTGGGCAACTATGGCAAATATCCCCCCTATGAGTAAATCTTTGGGGGAGGCCTATGTCCAGCAGTGGCCTTTAATAGGCTGTAACGGTAACGGTATTCGTCCATCGTGAAGTGATTTTCAATCATTTTTTTAATTAAATAAGTTGTTATTCACTGGTTGTCCTTTAGAGTTGGACTTTGGTCTTTGCAGAAAATATTCTACTAAGGATGAAGTTTTAGTAACTATTTAGACGACATTCTAATTGTTAACTTATACTTGTGATGGGTCAAAAATGTTTACTTTTAATTAAATGGAAAAGCCGAAAGAACTTAAAAGAATGAATGAATGAATTTCTTTATTTTGCAATATGGATGATACAGAATGTGGTGACAAATATATAGTATAGATTCCACCATATTTTACCAGAGGGCATGCAAAAATATGAAATAATATTTTTTTTTATCAATTTACGTAGATATGTCATTCACAATACAATATCACATTAGATTAACAAAAATAAAAAAGTCTTCAAATTACATGTAAGTCTAATAAGTCAATCAGTACATTATTATCACTATTATTTGTTATAAGCTATCCTCATATTAATTACATTAATAATAATACAATTTATAAATAAATATCCATGTGACAAATTTTACTATAACATTTTGTCCATTAAACATTCATTGATATTATAGTACACTTTGTCTGCTAAAAAGTTTCGTAGTTTTTTGTCTTAAATAATGAAGTTTTGAGAAAGAATTTATTGTAAATAGCGGGCCCCATTTTTATTTTTTGACATAATGTAATTGTTGACTTATTAATTTTTTTTTTACCTTACTAGCTGACCGGGTGTCTCGAATAGCAAAATAAGTATTAAAAAAATGAAAGAATCGACTGTTAGGCGGTACGAAGTTCGCCGGGTCAGCTAGTATATATATATAAATATATAATTTTTCATCAATTTCTAGCCCCAGAAATCTCGTGCTCTCGACTTCGGCAATGTTACAGTTGTTATATTGTATTATGAGTTTAATATTAACGAGTTTGCGTTGACTGATAAAAAAAATTAAAAATAGTTTCCAGATATGTCTTCTATACACTACTTATGTCTTAATATTAACACCGACTTCTTTTAAACTTCTATTAATGATTAATTTTTTATGTTATGGATGGAATTTTATTTTACATTATGGAATTTTGCTACTAAAAATGTTTCTGTTTTGTACATTTTATAACATACTAGCTGGTAAGAAATAATTGTGGATATATCGTTTTAAATTTGGAAAAGTTATATTGTTTAAATAGGAATGATAATACAATCATTGAAATTGAATGATATACTTACATATAACTTTCAAATAAATTTGTCGGTACGATATGCGCGCCACCTCGTGTAATTTAATTGTACTATGCCTATAACCTTCGCGGATGTGCAAGCAATTTGTAGACAAAGTTTTACCACAGAATAAATAATAGTACAATAGTTTTACCCCAATATGATGAACCGTATGGCAGCGCGTAAAATATATACGAACAAACAAATAATTTTTTTTTATATATTAGATAACATATATGCAATATAAGGGTCCCTCGGAAATAAATATATAATTAAATTTGGTCTTACAATATATTTATGTTAATGAAATGTATGTAGGTACATAAAAACACAAGTGGCTTAAGATATTCATACTGTAAACAATAGAAACAAACTCAAGCTTGTAATGCCAGTTACGCGATTCTACGCATACGCACAACCCGCAACAATATTCCAGAAAATGTTCCATGTTTGTCAATCAACAAGTTTAAAATTTTTATTAAAGAAAAAATTTATAAAAGGCCTTTTCTTAATGTCAAGAAATAAAAAAATAAAAGAATGGAAAAAGACCAACTCTTTTTTAAAAGGCCGGCTAGGCACTCTGGTATTGCCGATGTTCATGGGCGCGGTGATCACTCACCGTCAGGTGAACCTTATTCTCATTTGTCTCCTCTTCTGTATAAAAAAAGTGGGATTGTGGATATCGATACAAAGCTGTTGTGTAATAATTCATATATATATATATATATATATATATATATATATATATATATATATATATATATATATATATTGAACTTTTATATTAAGAATAGGGTATTATTTAGTATTTTCCGAACCTTTGGTGAATAAAAAAGGATATTTTTAATTAGTTAATACATATTTGATAATCTGTATGTATTTATAATATAACGTGTAAAGGGTAATTAGTAGCGGTATGAGAATATCCACTACCCCATATAGTCCTATGGGTGTAGTAAGAGGCGACAGAGGGAAACAAACCAGGGGATGGACAGTGGCATCATCCTGATAACAACTAGTACCTAAATAAAAAAATGTGGTTGCCAACCCGCCTGTCAATTGTGTTAACTATGGCAAATATGGGGATATTGAAGCAATCTGTGAGGAAGGACTACGTTCAACAGTCGACATTTATTGCTCTTACAAGTTTACATTGTCTTATAATTATAATATAGTACTATTTGAGGTACCTATAACAATTTTAATTTGTGAGTCTGGTGTTAGTACTAGGTAATACCTGTAGACTAATCACCAAACTCTCGTCCCTTAATTTAACATTTAACAATATTTTATACCTTTATCTTTAGGTACACTTCATGCGGCAATAAGATTTGTAATTTTTGGTTTTGTAATTTGTAATTTTATAGGCTGTATTGGGCATATAAATGAATACGTGTATATGTATGTCGAGCTAAACTTTTACTAGGAATAGGAATGATATAGAGATAACAAATATACAATCACAAAAACTGTTAATGCTGATGACTGACTGAAATGCAGACAATATCTGCTCGGGGACGAATGAATGTGGTTACTTGAGGATGATGAAGTTTTGAAGGTGTAGTTTCCGAAGGTTGTTGTTGGTTGCATGTTCATATCACGTCGGTTGGTCACCACTGTGGTGAGTGGAAGGAAAAGGGGAGATCTCCCGCCGGGCAAGGTGTTCCATCCGCCACAGTAGGTCGGGGTCACCACTGTGGCGGGTGGAAGGAAAGGGGGAGATCTCCCGCCGGGTAAGGTGTTCTGCCCGGGGAGCGGCCAACGCTCCGAGTGG